AAAAAAAAAGAAAAAGGTGCTTAAACTTTGTGTTTATAGTTAACATTGGTTATATAGTTCTTTTTTAACCCTATTTATCAGTTGTGAATTGCATTCAGTTGTATATATTGTGAACACTCAAATAAATGTCTTAAACAAAAAAGATGTTTGTTTTTCTCTCATGTAAAGAAATGTTGACCTAGGCATGTAAGGGCAGAATGGTAGCTCCACGCAGTCATTTGGCACCCAGGGACCCATCTACCTTTTTTCTCCATCATCCATACATAGCCCGTGTCTTCTCTTAAAATGACTCAAGGTCACTTTAGGCTCCAGGTTACCAGCTGGAGTTCCAGCGATGACGTCGGTGTTCTAGGATGGCAGAGGAGCTAAAGTGAAGGGGGGAGTCCAGGAGTTAGAGTGGTGAGTTAACGTAACACTTTGAATTGAGGAAGCCCTCTTTAAGAAATTTTCCCCCTCCCTAACAAGCTAAGCTCTATGTAATGATTTTTGCTTGTATCTCATCAGTTGCAAGGGAGGCTAGGAAGTGTCTTTTAGCATGACATGTTGCTATGCAGCTAAAAAATTTGAACATTCAAAACATTTGTGAGAAAGTCTTAATTTATAGTAGTTCATGGTTTGAAATTGGCTCAATTTATTAAATATTCTTAATTACTTCATTATAATTCTTGAACTTCTATATTCAGATTATTCATATTATTAGCCTTCTATATCACAAGCTATTTCTAGTCACTTAGTTGATGTAGAGCCCTTTCATGTCAGGGAAGGGGATACGTTAGTGTTCCATGAGAAAAGATGGTGATACCCATAGGTGAAGGTATAGATGATTAAATAAGTGTACGTAGGGAGTATCATTAATGGATTTAGAAATTGGGGAGAATGTCTTTGGAAGAATGGTTTATGGCTTGGTTTATGATGCTTTCCCTTTTATTAAATGTGTAGATAACACAGTAGTGGTAGAGAATGCCATGGGATGGTTGATGGTTCAGAGTGGATTGGGATTCAAAGTGATCATTTTATTTTAATATTCTTTTATGGAAAATTTTAAGCATGTACAAAGGTAGAGAAATTAGTATATCGAACTATCAGTCACCCACCTTTAACAGTTGGCTACATTCTGCTGTTCTTATTGTTTACTTCCCTTACCCCAGTTTTTTTGTATAGGAATATTTTAAGGCAAATTTAAGATGTTATGCAGTTTCATCTATAAATTCCTAATTATGTGTCTCTTACAGACAAGGACTCCCTTTTTAAAAACAAAACCACAAGTCACATTATCACACCAATGATATCAACAGTAATTCCTTAATGTACTTTAATTCTTAAAATAATCTTCAGAGGCTGAATTGTTAGCCCGAAATCAACAAGAAATTAAATAGGGGACAGGGAAAGGCATGTTTCATATTTAAGTTTAAAAAACTAATCAAAGTATAAGGATTGAAGGGCTATTACTTGACTCAAACATATGTAAGGATAATACAGACATTTTAGTCAACCACAGACTTGATCTTTCAGTGTGGTATGTCTGATGATGAACATTCATAGACTGTATTTAAAAAGTGTAATATTCTAATTATAGGAAATAATAGTCCTTTTGTATTCTGTCCCAATCTTACTACTATCCATGATATGTTCATTCTAACCACTACATTTGATGAGGGGTACTGGCAAATTAGAAGATGGCATGATATCCAGAGGATGGCAGCCAGAATAGTGAACATGTCTTCCATGAG